AGAGAGGGAAATCAGAGAAGCTTCACCTTTCACAATAGCCACAAACAGCATAAAATATCTCGGGGTAACTCTAACCAAGGAAGTGAAAGATCTATTTGACAAGAACTTTAAAGCATTGAAGAAAGAAATTGATGAGGATACCAGAAAATGGAAGGACCTCCCTTGCTCTTGGATTGGGAGGATCAACATAGTAAAAATGGCAATTCTTTCTTTTTCTAAAAAAAATTTTTTAGGCTCTCGTGTAGCTCATGACTCCTTTGAACCCTTTTATAGCCAAAGATAGCTTTGAACTTGTGATCCTTCTGCTTCCACTTCTGAATGCTAGCACTTAGACATGCTCCAAATGGTTATTCTTGTTGAACCAGGACCTCCAGGGCCTTTGCTCATGCTAGACAGGAACTCTGTCAACTGAGCCACATCTGCAGCCTTGAATTTTTGAATGTTGCCTCTGTATTCAATTATATTAGAATCTGTTTCTTACTATTTATAGACAGGAAAGTCCTTTTGTTTTCATTTCAGTGGAAAATAGATTATTTAAAAATAAGTTTTTAATATTGCCTCCTTAAAATTTTGAACTCTTATCCTCCATTTGAAAAGTGAGAGAGGACCACCTAAAAAGCACTCTATTTTCCCCCTGAAACATACCAGAGTCAACAAGTTCTACTTACACATTCCCCACCCCCAAATATTATAGGGGACCTACCCTCTCTTTAGATTTTCCTTATTAATTTGGTTTAACTTGATTTGTTTTCATATTTAGTTTTAAAAAGTATAAATGATATATAAACTGGTGTCACTTTGTCTTTGCAGAAGCCAGTGTTTCAGGTTGCATGCAGCTAATCACAAACTAGTTTGTATAGGAACTGAATGTGTGTATTCCCTTTTGGTCTCAGAGCCTTCAGGCCCTTAAGTTGTTAACTTCTAGTGCAGCTGCACAGTAATATACACTATCATGGTATTTAAAATCAGGTATATTGTACTTTACACTTGTTAGGACTCTCCCATGCCTGGATGTGGGTGGAGGTGAGTGAGCATGAAGGGGGCCAGAGGTTGTTTTTGGGTGTCTTCATGATTGCTTTTCCACTTTATTTTTTGAGAAGGTCTCTCACTAAACCTGGAACTCACTGATTTGGTAGGCTAGTAGACCAGCAAGTCCCAGGTATTTTCTTGTTTTCACATTCTCAATGCTGGGACTATAGGCACATGCTACCACGCCTGTCATTTTACATGGATGTTGGGGCTCTGATTAGATATAGGTCCTGAACTTTGACCTTAGCCCCAGGCTATTTCCTATAATACATTATATCCACATGGCATTATATATGTGTATAATATATATAATATACATATCATACCACATATAATATGTATAATATATATAATATATGTACATAGAAATTTGTGCCTTAGTGAGAAAGGTTCAGAAAGATTTAATTTTTTGTTCCGCTACCCCTTAGTGATAGAATCTAGGGTAAATCCTAAAGGATTAACTTCAAGTTTTCTCTATGCCTGTCCTATCCTCTGCTTCAATTTGTATCTCATGTATTTAACTTCCATTATAGTTAGATCTTTTATTAATTGTTTGGATTTAATGTAGCCACATTACATTCTATCTCAATGAAGAGGAGAACATAAATCTTCTATTTTCTGCTGTATTTATAACCTTATGGTACCAGAGAGCCTTTTTCAGACTCAGCTTTATATAGCCCTTAACTGGCACATTGTCCTCAGAGGAATGGATTGGTTGGCATCGTTACAGTGGTGATACACTACCTGACTAAGGCTGAGGAGTCGTTGCTGACACAGAGCTAACTAACCTGCTTCAGTCTTTTTTTGTTGTTGTTGAGTGTTGTCTGATTTATCTGGCATTGTAAGCTGGTTATTCTTTTTACTTTTTGAGTAGAGTCTTTGTATGTAGCCTAGGTTACTCATGAACCTGCAGCTCAGTCTCTTAGATGCTAGAATTACAGTATACGTCACTGCCTGGCTCATAAGTTTGTTTTTTTCCATAGATTTGACCTGTGTCTTGAGTTTTATTCTTTACACACCTAGTTACCACTGGACCTAATCTACTTGAGAAGTCACCAACATATCATTGTCTTGCTTCTTGAATTTTGCCTTTCATTTCTAATTCTTTAGAGTTTTGGTACTCTATTTGGTCTTACTCATTTATTTTACTTCATGTAATTTAAATAATAATCCTGTACTCAATATGGTATGTCATACTTGTAATCCCAGATTTCAGGAGGCTGAGGCAGGTAGATCGTAGACTAGTCTGGGCTACATGGTAAATACCAGGCTAGCTTGGGCTACAGAGTAAGGCTTTGTTACAAACAACTAAAACCAACTAAACAACACTGCCCCAAACAAGTACAAATGGAAAAACCAAGCTCCAAAACAAGCTGAAAGATTCTGTCTATAAATAAATACTACAGAGAATTTGCCTCAAAAAGATTGGGTATATAGTTCTCTTATTTCTACAAAGATCAGATTATTGCCTAATGGCAGGAATTCTTTGTTTGTAGTTATCTACCCATTACTTTATGTCTTCAAAACAATGTTAGATCCTTTGGTAGAAGTCAGTTGTATGCACAAAAGACCTTGAACTAGAAGTCCAAGACAGGATAGAATAGGTATGATAAGCAGCAGAGATTTCCCTCACCAGCTGTGGGAGGTAATACTTGTTCACTGAGGGAAGCTCAGAAAGGAACATCTTAGGTTTCTGAATCATGTGAGGAAAAAGTCTGAACATCTACCAGCAGTCCATACAGCAATTAAAGATGTTAATGTGAGAGATAAGGCTGGGTTTTCAATTGGCATAATCTGATGGTAGGATATTTGTTTGTTTTGCAGAATTCCTTGTGAAGCCTCATAGAAGAAAAAGTTCTCAGGACAGTATTCATTTGGTAAGTTTGTTTTCCTCCTGCAATCACTCTGCTGATTTGAAGCAGGGAAAACATATTTACAAATTAGTTTTGTGACACTGTTTGTCCCTATCCATTTTCATTAGTACCCATTGCCAGGTTACCTTTTATGTGTCTATTTGTGGCATATTGCAGTGTTCTTTATGTCTGAAAATGTGTTGAATAGTTGTTATTTTGAGTTATAGGGTCAACTTCTTTGTCAGCAAACTCTCAGTTCAGCAGCAGATTCTGCATTAGTAAGTAAAGTGTGATTGATTAGATACTCAGTGCCAACCTTTGGCCTCTACATTCATGCGTCTATATTCATGTCTATATATGCACACATATATACCAACACATGTGAAGTGAGAATACATACATACTTGAATACCACAAACACACAGGCACCCCCCAAAAAAGAGAAAAGAAAAAAGAAGAACAACACAACAGGATAAAGTATTCTAAGCACTCCATCCCTCCCTCCAGCTTATACATGATTTCCTCCCCTTTTTGCATTATTTCCTGAGTTTTAGAGTAGGAGTGCAGTGTCTCATGTAGGAGGGCTCAACTTTCAACAGTTACTCAGACTAGATGGCCAGTTTCTTCAGTAACCTCTGTCCCTTGTAAAAATAAGCTTTTGACCACAGACAATAGCAGCACTGTTCTGTGGGGATAAATAAAAATATTTAGAAGGTAATTTGAGAGGTGTGCTATGCTCACTTTAAGGACAGCAGTAGCTTAGCTACTACAGTATATGACCTCTCAACTAGGGATTTTCAGTAGGTTTACAGTACCAGGCAGGAATTGACTTCAGTGGAGTGTTAAGTCCAGTCAGGAAGCTGTTGCCCCTTTCACGTAGTGCCATTATTGTGCTGCTGGGCATCTATCTCTTGCCTGGCCAGTTGGTAGTATAGCACACAAGGTTCACAGCTGAGTAAGACCGCTAATGACAGTGCTCCAGCATGTGGAACACCCTCTGAAAGGGTGGAAGCTTCTTGTTCAGCTAAAACTTGATTTCCTTATATCCTGTGACCAAAGCTTTTAGTGTCCTAGAGTTTTACTGTGTAATTCTAGTGGGCAACCAGTGTAGTAACATATTGTTTGGGGAGCCCCAGGGGTTCATAGAGAAGTGGCTTCACCCTGGTCCTGGGGCTTTTCATTTTAGTAACTGATGACTTCTTAGAGTACCTTTATCTACTCATGCAGGGAATCTCTGTTGAAACTTTTTTGTCTTACATTTTATTTTGTTATTAACTTACAAAATAGCAGGTTTCCTTATGGATTTTTAATATATACTCTTAGCTTTGGGTAACTCTACCCCTTAACATAATGTTCAGCTCTCAGAGGAAATAAAAATTGGAAGAGTACTGGCCTGCTCTTTAACCTGTATTCTTTTCAGTTACCGTTAGGCAATGACCTCACCTAGTTTCCATGCCAGGATCAAGTTCCTTAGTGTGGCATGCAACAAATTGTCTATACGTAGTCACTCATTTCCTATGCACCAGTGTAGCTACCCTGGACTGCTTCCTAGCTTTCAAATGTACTCCAGTGTGTTCCTTTGCTTTATTCTGATGTTTGTACCCCTTCTTGTTTCCACTTTGTCTTAAAGCTTGAAGTGTGCATATACAAAAAGACTATTTTGGGCATTGTCTTACCAACGTCAGTCTATCCCTGTAGGATCATGTATTATCATATATATTATTGAGTCATAATAGTAATAACTATAAAAAGATAATTAATTATGCAGCTGAGAATACTAAATATATCACATGAATCCGAGGCTCACATAAATAATATGATTTACTCTTATGGTCTCCATTCCAAATGTACCTTCATTTATCACTTCATCTATGTGTATTGTAGTGATATATTTAAGAGATTAATTCCTTAAAGAGAAAAAAAAAACTAAAACCAGGTGCAAAAATCCATAACAACACCCTCTGTGTATTTGTGCGCACGTTAGAGACCATAGCCCGTGTGTTTAAAATTAAGGTTGTTGCTGCTCAGTTTATTCTGTAACTTTCTTTGGAGTAAAAATATTTATACTTAGTTTGAGTATTCATCCCCCTTTACCCACTTTTTAATTGAGGTATAATTCATATCACATAAAGACCACTCTTTCCAAGGTATGCAGCTCAGTGGATTTTAGTATATTCATCATGTACAAACCTTTGCATTGTCTCATTCTAGATTTCTGTCCCTCATGAATATAACCTTGAGCCCACAGAAAGCACTCCATATTCCTCTCTGTTCCTCTGGATATACCTGTTCTGGATAGTTGATTGAATTTGTAGCATTTTATGTTCCAGGTTTTTTTCACTTAGCATAATGCTGTCATGGGTCAGTATTTCCTTTCTTGTTATTATTAAATAAGATTCCATTCTATATATTTTGCTTTATTTTTTTTCATTTGCTGTACATTTGAATTGTTTCCATTCTTTGGCTATTTATTATGAATATTGTTGCATGAATATTTTACGAGCCTTAAAATCAGGCCTTCTCTTCTTCCCTCCCTCCTTTCTTCCTTCTGAACAGGGTCTTTACCCTGGCTGTCCTGGAAACTCACTCTAGACCAGGCTGGCCTCTAACTCACAGAGATCTGCCTGCCTCTTCATCCCAAGTGCTGACATTAATGGTATACACCACCATGCCCTGGCTTAATTTTTAATTTCTTTCAATTTCTGTTTTTTTTTTTTTTTTTTCTTTTGAGGTGGGTTCTTGTTGTGTTGGGTTCAAGTGATACTCCAGCTGCCTGAGTATCTGGGACTACAATTATGCAGCACCGAGCCCAGCTTCTTAGTGTACAAGTTTTGTATAGGAAAATCCTCCCATCCTGTCAGGTATGTGCCCAGCAGTAAAACTGATGGGAAATATGACTGTATAGCTCTTTTGGGAACAGCCGAACTGTTTTCACAGAGATGTACTTCTGAGAATTTCAGATTCTTCATATTCCACCTACATTCTATACATATGCATGTACTTTAAAATGTGTGCCTGTACATGTATGTGTGCAGGTGTACATGTGTGAAAACCTTATATAGCATCTTCAAGAATGCCATCTGCTTCCTTGGAGGCAGGATCTTGATCCTCCCTCCCCCATCCCCTTTTGGTTTTGGTTTTTCAAGACAGGTTTCTCTGTTTCTCTGTGTGACCATAGCTGTCCTGGAACTTGCTCTGTAGTCCAGGCTGCCTTCAAACTCAGAGATCCACCTGGCTCTAAGGTAGGGTCTCTTGTGGTTCTTATTAGCCTAAAGCTCACCAGCTACTAGACTGGCAGGTCAGTGAGCCCCAAGGATCCTCTTTTATGCCTCCTCTGTGCTTTGATTACAAGTGTGTGCCACTGGGCCCAGTTTTTAGTATATAATACTAATAATTAGAACATGTATCAAATTTATGTCTGTGTTAAGATAGAGCAGTTTGAGTTGTAAGTAATAATTTAGTGGTGGGAGACTTGCCTATCACGTGACCAGACCCTAGGTTTATTTCACAACAACATAAGACAACAACAAACATAGTACAGTAGTTTTTTTTTTTTTTTTTGTTTTTTCGAGACAGGGTTTCTCTGTGGCTTTGGACCCTGTCCTGGAACTAGCTCTGTAGACCAGGCTGGTCTCGAACTCACAGAGATCCGCCTGCCTCTGCCTACTGAGTGCTGGGATTAAAGGCGTGCGCCACCATTGCCCGGCATACAGTAGTTTAAATATGTGGATGATGTTGTCACTTTCAGCTGGATAAGCAGTAGGCATCTGAAACAAACTTGGTTTCTCTGTGTTCTTTTTCCCTATCTCTTATGGGCTGAGGAATTCACTTTTCTTAAGGGTGTCCTTCACCAGGAAAGTCCTTTTTCTAGCTGCTGAGACAGCAAGTTTGAGATACCTTTCTGTCACATTTAGTGGATCAACTCATTGTGTGCGTTTGTGTGTGTGCGCACACATGCATGCATATACATAACTATCGCTTCAGAGACTGTGAAGAATATGGTAGCACTGCTTGTGTCACTGCTGCCTTGTAAGTCTGGTATTGCATTGTCACATCCAGCAGCTCTCAGCATCTTCCTTTGCCCCTTGTCTCCAACAGTGGTTGTCCCTCAGAGCATTCTTAAAATAATCCTTTTCTCACAGCCCAGCAGAGGTACAGGCACAGAGACAGAGCCTTGGCCCTGCTGTTCCTTTGATGTTCTCTTTCACTTATTTAATGCTGCTCTTACAGCTCTTATGCTAAGTATTGACGTTCAAACTCTCCAAAATACCATCTTTTTTTTTTTTAATTAAACTTGAGCAAAGCCATAAGACCAGGTTTGTCTGATGGTACTCTGCTGAGGGAAGGAGCCCTTCGGGAGAGAGCTAGCACTCCTCTGCATTTCTAGTTGGACCTTCTTTTGTGTTTAGAAGCACAGGTGAGAGGATTATAGTAGCTCAGGAATTTTCAGGTAAGTACAGAATATCAGGATAATAAAGCAGTTGATTCATATTTTACCTGCTAAGTCAATTTGTTTCCATACAGAGGGTGATCCATTTTCCATAAAATAAGCCACACAAATATCCTGAAACATTAGGAGAATATTGTGTTTGCAGATTGATTTTAATTATTGCTTTTTTAATCAAGATTCATAACATTTGAAAATTACTCTCAACACAGGAATGTCAATGGTTTTCACTTTCCTTACAGAACTAGTTAAAGTTAGGAATACTTCCACAAAGGTGTTATTCAGTTTAGAACTAATGGTGAGGATTTGGCTGGTTGATATTCAGCTTATTCAGGGATGACTCTGGTTGAATTTCAGGTCTGTGTATGCAGTCTCTTTAATTAGGGTATGACCAATTAGGGGAAAAACTATTGCCAATTTTGCCTCCCCTTTTTTTTCCTTCCTAAAATAAAAGGTCTCAAGTAGAAGAGAAAGAAGAGCCTTGTTAGAGATTGGAGAAGGACGGGGTCTCTCCTGCCTTGGACTGGTCATGGTAAGTACAGAAATAAAGAAATTAGAGTTGGACTCCTATCTTGATGAAACGTGAACACTAATACATCTGTTTATGTTTTATAAGAAATAATTTCAGTTTTGCCCACTTCCTAATTATCTCTACTTCCTTTGTCAGCTCCTCAGTACCTGTCCACTATGAATAGAAGAGCTACTTTTACAGTAGCCGAATCCTGAGAGCTAGATATGTAGTACACCTTAAGTCAGTCAGTAAATGGAGGCAAGATTGAAATATATCATTCTCGGGCTCCAGGATTTTCATTTCTTCCTTTAATAGGAAGCTGGCTTGGAGGTGTAGCTCAGGCTAAACCACATGCTATTGCATATGTGAGGCCCAGGCTCACTTCCTCCCTTTCCCTAAAAACATTCTAAGAAGCAAGACATGTAAAAATGATTTTTATGTGTTTGTTTGGTGAGTGTAGAGATTGTGAGATGGCCACTCACAAATTTTTCTTTATTTGATTTACAGAATTGTGAAATATTGTAAAATGCTTTATAAAACAAGCGTATATTATAGACTGATCAAACTGAGCTAATTAACATTCACTGTCACCATAGCACACATTTTAAATGAATTTGTTTTCTGGACGGCAACAATTCCCTGCCTTTCCTTTAAGATTCTTTTGACCCATAACAGATGGGCAGCTGTGCACACGCAGCCTTTCCCTTTCCCTGAAGAACACAATGGGCATTTCGGTGGCCTGTGGGCCATTTAGGCAGAGAAGATGGAACACAGCCAGCTACATCTCATCAGTCCTAAGAATGTGTAAGCAAAGCTTTGAGGAATAGAGAAATTGCTCTCTATAGCATTGTCTGATTTATTTGTTTGTTTTTGTCGTTAACCATGTGGTAGTTCCTAGACCCGAAGTGTTTCATGCCGGTGCACAAAGAGGAAATTGAAAATAGCATGTTAATTTCAAACTTCATTAGGGACGTGTGGAAAATGCTTTTTAAAGTTAAAAACAAAGTGAAATAGCAACAATCCTTGCCCAGTTAGTTGTGTAGTAATGTCAATACTAAAAGGGAGAGGAAGTTAATTTCTCCCTTTGTAAAGGTGGACCAGTGGGCATCACAATTCTCCAATTTAATCTTGTACCCAAAGTATGATGACGTTTTATTGTTTTTTTTTTTAATTCAAAGTATACAGTTTTTGTTTTTCCTCAGTTTTCAAAGCTGAAAGTATGCTTGCTTAATATTAACATGGTGTGCATGCCAGTGCCATTGATCAGCAATTGGGCATAAAAGCAGCTCTGCTGTGCACTGCTTGCCCTTCACCGTGTGCTACATAGCCAGCAGTACAGTCCTTTTCCTGGTACTGTTGAGGTCTCTGTGGTACCTAGCACAGTCCTCTAGGGATCCCAATAGTTATGGAGCAGTGTGACTGTAGTCATAAAAGATCTGTCTTAGTTACTGTTCTGTTGCTGTAAAGAGACACCATGACTGTCAGTGTTTTAATTGCTATGCAGAGACACCATGACCACAACTCTTATAAAGAAAACATTGAATTGAGCGTGGCTGGCCTACAGTTTCAGAGATTCAGTCCTTTTTCATCATGGTGGGGAGCATGGTAGCATACAGGCAGACATGGTGCTGGAGCTGAGACTGCTACATCTTGCAGGCAGCAGGAAGTCAAGTGACTGTCATAATGAAGCTTGAAGAAAAGAGATCTCAAAGCCTGTCCCCACAGTGATACACTTCCTCCTACAAGGCTATACCTCCTAATAGTGCCACTCCCTTCGGGAGCCATTTTCTTTTAAACCAGCACTATGACTATGGCAACTTGTAAAAGAAAGTATTTAATTGGGGGTTTACTAATGGTTCCAGAGGGTTAGTCCGTGACCATCATGGTAGGGAGTATGGTAGAACAAATGGCAAGCATGGTGCTGAAATGGTAGCTGAGAGCTTTTGTAACCTCAAAGCCCCCCCCCCCCCCCCCAGACATCTCCTTCAATAAGGCCACACAGCCTAGTCTTTCCCAAACAGTTCCACCAACTGGGAACCAAGCATTCAAATATATAAGCCAGTGGGGGTTAGTCTCATTCAGACTACCCCAAAGATCATTATAGCAAATTAAAAAAAAAAGTTAGAATTTTGCTATGAGAACTCATGGTTGTGTGTATTGTTTTCTGATTGGTCCATGTTACTCACTCACTTGTACGTATCAGTATATGTCTAAGTCATAAGTCTTATAATGCAATTTGCTATTATTTAAACATTTTCTCATTTGTCTATTGGATTCCTGATAATTACTTTGTTAGCTATGTAATTCTTTGAAATTGTTGAGTCATTGATTTATTTTAGTATAAATAGTATTGTTTTATCATTTGGATTTTTGTTTTTGAGCCTTAGTTTTTACAGAAAATTCTAGAATACTGAATTTTGGTTTTCTTAAAGATTTTTTCCAGTTATTCTTTGACAGTTTCATGCATGTACATTGTTTTAATGATATCCAACTCCACTCCTGCTCCCCAACACCACCTGCATCATCATTTCATTCTCCTAGATACCTCTATTTTTCAAAGGATTTTAAATGAGACTTAAAGTGTGTCTTTTGGGAGATGTTTCCAGGGTTGTTATTTGTTCCCAGTAGGACTCTCCAGCCTATGTAAGGAGAAAGAAGTGCATACAGGCATATATACTGAGTTCCAGGCCAGCCTGAGATACAGTGTGAGACCCCATCTATAGAGAGCAGAAAACCAAAACATTTTCTGTGTAGTGCTTGTCTAACATGTTTGAGGCCCCAGTTTGATCCCCAGTAAAATGAAAATGGAGGGGGTTCTGACTATGTGAGCAGAGTTCATCATAATCTAATTCCAGGCTCTCTCATAGACTATATGTCTTTTGGGCCTCCCTGTACTGTAACAGCCAGAGTGTAAAGTAGTTATTTTTGAGAGTGCTTGACTTCCTACTTTGAAATTGTCTTAACTGGAAGAGACCTCTTGGTAGTGTAAGTTTTTAGCTTAGTTTTTTGTTTGTTTTCTTTTATATTAAAACTTTAAAAAGTTATTTATTTATTATGTATATTGTTCTGCCTGCATGTATGCATGCATGCTAGAAGAGGGCATCAGATCTCATTATAAATGATTGTGAGCCACTGTATAGTTGCTGGGAATTGAACTCAGTCCTGTGGAAGAACAGCCTGTGCTCTTAACCTCTGAGCCATCTTTCCAACCCTAAAGCACACCTTTTTGAAGCTTTCTGTTATGCAGATTTTGCATAAAGGATATACAGTGTAGCAAACTAACATTCAGCACTTAATAGTTTCATGAATTATCAATTCATAGAGCTGTTTCATTTATTCTTCTCCCATTCCTTTCTTATACCCCTTAATTATGTTGAAGTGAATTTCAAACATAATTTCTTTATTTTTAAGTAAGTATATATTTTTCAAAAATAAATATGTAAAATTATAACATAAGGAGCAAAATTACTGCTTATTGGTTTCTTTCAAAAGGCACCACAGCCTCTTGGTGCCCACAGACTGTAATGCTTGATAATTTTTGCATCAATGTGTTTCAGATTAGGGATACTTGTAATAGTCAGACTTATGTTCTTATTACAAATGCTGAGAGAAGTCAACTAAAAAAACTAAAAAAGAGAAAAGATTTATTTTAGCTGATTGTCTTGGTCAGTTGGCCCTGGTTTATATCAAGGTGGGAACATGGGATGGAAAGCCCACTCACCTTGTGGTGCCGAGGAAACAGGGAAGGGGCTAGCTCCCTTCATTGGCCTATCTTCCTCTTACTGCCTTTCAGAATTTCCAGCTCCCTGCTAACAGTGCTGTGTGTTAGCATCAAAGCCTTTAACATGTGGGCCTTTGAGGAACCCTTATCCAAACTATAGCAATAACTAAGATAGTAGATGAAACACTTTGGGGGATAGTTTTCCTGAGTTTTTCTGCTTGTTTCAAAATGGTCATTGGATTATTATTGTGATTACATAAGTAAACACGGCAGAAAAATCAAATATGGATGATAAGTAGAAGTTTTTAAATTAAACACTGTGGGGTTTTCCAGGATGAAGAGATGCGGCATAGCCTGGAGTGCATCCAAGCCAATCAGATATTTCCCAGGAAGCAGCTGATTCGAGAAGATGAGAATCTGCAGGTAATTACAGACCATTTTTGACAGTGTATTATAATGATGGAGCAAAACTAGTGGATTGAAATAATGTATAATAGATGCATTTCCTAAACTGTACATATAGAAGTGCAATCTGGAAAACATTGTTCCTTTTTGAAAGATTTATTTCCTAAAAGTTCATTGTTTAGTATGATTATTTATCATCATAAAAGTTCCTAATTTTGCCGGGCGATGGTGGCGCACGCCTTTAATCCCAGCACTCGGGAGGCTGAGGCAGGCGGATCTCTGTGAGTTCGAGACCAGCCTGGTCTACAGAGCTAGTTCCAGGACAGGCTCCAAAGCCACAGAGAAACCCTGTCTCAAAAAAAAAAAAAAAAGTTCCTAATTTTGGTAAGTATATTGAAATTAGGTGAGTGTAAGCTGTCTTTCAGATTCTTGATTTAAACTTGTATGGCAGAGGGTTTATTGTCCTTTTGTTCACCTGACCATTTAATCTGGACCATTTCTGCTCTGGAACTATGAAAGGTTTCTTCTGTTTTCCAGGTTCCTTTCCTTGAACTTCATGGAGAGAGCACAGAGTATGTGGGCCGTGCTGAGGATGCCATCATTGCCCTTTCTAATTACAGACTTCACATCAAGTTTAAGGAGTCTCTTGTTAATGTAAGTGATTACTAACCATCCTTCCTGTAAGGTAGATAAGAAAAGGAAGAAATAAGAATTGTACAGGCTTGGGTATTTGAAAGCATTTTGTACTGTGCATTTCTCTCATTTAATTTCATGCTCAAGGACTGTTTGGTAAGGTACTCCTATGATTTACTTAAAACAATTCATCTTGTCTGCTGAGGTATCCATTGTTAGTTAATACTTGTACCAGATGCTGCTGCTTTATTAAGCTTTATAAAGGTACAAAGTTTATTACAGACTGACATATCAGGCTCCTACATTGGTAAGGATCCATGTTAGTATGTTGTTTATTTGCATAATGAACTCTTACTAATGCAAAGGAAGTTGGAAGTTGTTATGAGTGCATTTGCTCTTTTTTGGTTATGAGGTTCCACTAAGTAGAACTGGTTCTTCCAGTGCACTTCTGTCCTTGGTAGTCTTCAGTGAACCAGCCCAGAAAGCCCCACAACTTCACCAGTTTCCACCAGTGGGAGTATTTTTTTCCCCTTTACTTGCCGGTGTTGTGGCTTTCTGCATTTGAGTGCCAGTGCAGAGAAGTGTGTTGTGATGTCTTTAAGAGCTCAGGTCTACATTCAGATTATGTGATTTGGAGGATTCTTTGAAATATATTGCTTGCGTTAATTTTATTCATCTTTCTAAAAATTACCTAACTATTCAAGTTGCAGCCTGTGATTTATAAGATCAGTGGCTGTCATTTTTGAGCTGACATTTTACTTATTTATTTACTTACTTACTCATTCATTCATTCATTCACTCACGTTCTCGAGCCATTTTGACCTGAATTCTTCTGCCTGCCTTCTATAATTGGGTTATGTCTCTATTCAGTCCATTAGCTAACAGTGCACACCAGAGTCACCAAGGAAAAAGAAAATGTACTATGTTCACAGAGTTCTAGGGTCCTTTCTGTTGTTGTAATAAACACCATGACCAAAGGCAACTTGGGGAAGAAAAGGTTTATTTCACCTTACAGCTTACAGCCTATCATTGAGGAAAGTCAAGGCAGGAATCTGAAGGCAATAATGGAAGCAGAATCCAGGGGTAGTACTGCCCACCATGGACTGTGCTCTCCCACATCAATCATTAATCAAGAATATGCCCACAGGCCAATCTGATTGAGATAATTCCTGGGGGGGGGGCTCTTCTCAGGTGACTCTAGTTTGTGTCAAGTTAACAAAACTAACCACCACAATAGTTCATTTGGATTTGATCATTTCTGACCAGTGGATAAAAAGTGGAAATGGTGCCGGGTGGTGGTGGCACACGCTTTAATCCCAGCACTCTGGAGGCAAAGGTAGGCAGATCTCTGTTGTAATAGGAGCAGCGGGGCTGTGTCCCCAGCACCCCGGCCGCCTGCTAGCTCATGCCTGAAATAACAACACACAAACTGTATTCATTTAAACACTGCTTGGCCCATTTCTATCTAGCCTCTTCTAGGCTAATTCTCGCACCTGGACTAGCCCATTTCTAATAATGTGTGTAAGCACCCCAAGGTGCGCTTACCGGGAAGATTCTAACCTACGTCCATCCTGGGTCAGAGCTTCATGCGTATGCCCAGGAGAGCGAAGCAGGGCCTCTGCTCCAGAAAGCAGAGCTGTTGAGTCTGAGCTCACTTCTTCTTCCTCCCAGCATCCTATTCTGTTTACTCCTCCCACCTATGTTTTAACCTATCAGGGCCAAGGAGTTTCTTTATTGCTTAACCAATGAAATCAACAGATTGATATATGACCCTCCCACATCAGATCTCCATGAGTTCAAGACCAACCTGGTCTACAAGACAGGACGGGTTCCAAAGCCACAGAGAAACCCTGTCTGGGGGGGGGGGGGAACAAAAACAAACCAGCAATTGAAAGTTCCCTGCCATGTCCTAGGGGAGGGAGTCAATTTACCACTCAACTTAAACTTAATTTTTTTTGTTCTTTAAGTGGTTGGCATCAGAGAACTTATAATTCAGTTGCCTGTGAGAATGATAAAGGTTCATCTCATTACATTTTCCCATATCATCCCATTTATCAGCTCACTAGATTTGGCTAAATACTTAAAGGTCTATTTTTAGATTTGTTTGGGAATAGGGTCTGTCAGAAAATCACATCATCTACCATCTTAAAGCTGTTTTCTTTATTTGTTCTATGATTTTCTTTATTTGTTCTATGAAAGTCAATTATGCAGCATGATGTGAAGCTGTGGTCCTTGTCCCTGTCAGCTTTTCTGTCTCCTTTCTAATAGTAAAACTGGCTTTTCTGGGCCCCTCTGGCAGACCTCATACTTTGCACATTTTCCCTTCTCTCATGCCTGGGGACTTTCTCTTCATCTCTCAGAACTTGGTTCAGGTAGTAACTTCCTCTGTGAAGCTTTGCTCAAGTCTGTTCCCTTCTTGGCAGTAATTGCACTCAGTGGCCTGCTTCTGTATGTAAACATACTTTCACAGCATTTACTAGACATGTTGTAACGCTTTGTTGATTTGTCTTTGTGTCTTTAGGATCCAATATGTCTCTTGATACCTGCAACTCAGTAAATAATGACTTGAAATTAGTATGGATTTGAAATGAATATTAGATCTTCTCCCCCTTTTTGGATTTTAAGTTCATTTTAAAACAGTGCATTTCTGTGACTAGGCCTGTGTCATTCATCATTTATTTCTTATAGTAACTATATGAGTAGATTGTATTGTGATATTTTTTCATAGTGTGATTTTAATGTTTAAGAAACTGACAACTGTGCTTACTTTTAATCCATTTCCTTAGATGAAAGTGTTTTCTCTAGCATTTTAAATCTCTAAGTTTTGGGGCTGGAGAGATGGCTCAGAGGTTAAGAGCACTGGCTGCTCTTCCAAAGGTCCTGAGTTCAATTCCCGGCAACCACATGGTGGCTCACAACCATCTGTAATGAGGTCTGGTGCCCTCTTCTGGCCTTCAGGCATACACAGACAGAATATTGTATACGTAATAAATAAATAAATATTTTAAAAAATCTCTAAGTCTTAGAGCCATGTGTCACTTACAAAACCCCAGACACTGTGTTTGCACAGAAAAATGATTATACAAAGTTATCTTGACATTGTAGGGACTATGCACATTTCTTATTGAGGAACACCTCAGTGCTAGGGTTCCTGAGGTCATTCCAGGAACAAGATAGCTTATTCCTCCTGCAACAGATCCTAGATCTAGACCAGAGGATTGATAGTGGTTGCCTTTCTCCCTTCCCCTCTCTGCGACCCTCTGCTCTTTCTTCAGCAGATAAATGCTACAGCAAAACACAGGCGATCAAGAAACCCTATTAGCCAGGCAGTGGTGGCGCACACCTTTAATCCCAGCACTCTGGAGGCAGAGGCAGGTGGATCTCTGTTAGTTTGAGGCCAGCTTGCTCTACAAGAGCTAGTTCCAGGACAGGCTCCAAAGCTACAGAGAAACCCTGTTTCGAAAACAAAAACAAAAATAAAACAACAAAAAAAACAAAACAAAACAAAAAACTATTAAAGGTCATTTTATCTAAATCATGCATATTTAAGCCATTAGAATCCAAATGTGCTATCTCTTTGGTGGCATGCCCTACTTTGCATTTTTAGCACTTCAGAAAAAAAAGTTGCCAGTAAATTTTAAATAGCTACCCAATATCAAATATTCTCTTTAATTTCACAGCACATTGACTGTTTATAGGCTTGGATACAATGAGCACTATTCCTTTTATCTATTACAACCTCAGTAAACATCAAGTTTACAGTTCCTAGAGTGAAATACCTCTGTGGAGAGTCCATTTGTAGCATTCCTGGTATGAGCAATTGTCTATTCTTTATTTTTTCCAAACTATGTTTCTTTGAAACTTAGATAATTTATTAAGCAACTAAGTGTTCAAGTGGGATTTATGAAAGTTTAAAACAGGTTTTGTTGTGTAATTGAACAGACTGATCTTAATCTGCTATTTCTGAAACCACAGTGGGTGGCATGAGACTCTTGGGTGATGGCTGTTTCATGTTACTTTGCAGTCATCAAAACCTGTCTCCTGTGTGAGTCTATTCTCTTTTACCAGTGCTCTAGTTGGTGCTCTTACGAGAATATTTTGTGGGGTGAAAATAAAGTTTATACATAAGTAATAGTATTATGATCAAACACATAGACTGAGAGTGGAAGGGATGGCTCAGAAGCTAAAGGCAGTTGCTGGACAAGCTTGCTGACCCAAGTTTACTCCCTGGAACTTGCATAAAGATGGAAGAAGAGAACCAATTCCCTATAGTTGTTTTCTGACCCATGTATGCTTACTGTGTTGTGTGTGTGTGTGTACACAGAATAAATAAACTTAGAATATAATGTAAACACAGTTTAAAGCAGAAATGGTTTATAAAACTTTGTTTCTTGGTCAGTCTCTCAGTGCCTAACAGGTGGCAGTCTAACAGCTGTTGGTATTCTCCTTTGTCTAGCAGTTACCTTTGGTCACCATACACCAGAAAGATCTTTTTTGTTATTCTGCCAGCTAGTAGGTCAGAGTTTGTAGTAAGCCAGCTCTGAAATGAGCAGGGCTGACACGGGGCTACTCTTTGGAGGCAGCATGGTCAGTGAACAAACCTAAGCAAATTTTTGCAGTGCTACTTGCAGTTCCTATAGCCACATTCTGACTGGGTTTGATACAGCATTAGGGACAAGTAAGCTACTCTTTTTCACAAGGCCTTAAGAGTGTATGTAGTCTGGGTGGGGGTAGTATACACCATTAATCCCAGCACTTGGGAGGCAGAGGCAGATGGAGCTTTATGAGATCGAGGATAGCCTGGACTACAGAGTGAGTTCCAGGACAGCTAGGACTACACAGAAAATCCCTGTCTCAGGGGTGGGGTGGGGTGGGAGAATGCACTCAGGGCTGATTGTAACTCAGTTGGTAGAATACTTGCCTAGCATGCATCAAACAAACCCTAAATGCAAAGCACCAAATAAAGCCATGGTGGTATAGACTGTAATTCTAGCACTTGGGAAGGTAAGAGAGTTTGTAGCTGTCTTTAGTGACATAGGGAGTTTAAGACCAGCCTGGAATGCATAAGACCCTGTCTTGAAAAAAAATGAATTTTTATTTTTTTCATATCTTGTTTGGAAAATGCTTTTGTAGTTGGAGGTTAAGTCAGATATTTTCAGAAAGAATGTCACTGCGTCAACCTGAGGGTCCTTTACACACTTGAGAGACATTTCTTCTGTCTCACTGGCGTATCGATCTCTGTCCACTGTTGTTAAGTAGGACCTGCTGACCCAGTTGGCAGGGAGGGGGACCATTCCAATTCACTCAAGCCTTGAGTCCTACTTGACAAACAAGGCTCTTGAGCTGTTGTTGTTGTTGTTTTTGAGCAAGTTGGATCTAGCCTATTTTAGTTTCTTTGACTACTGTATAACTTCTTGTTATCTGTGTTCTGTTCTACTGAGTAGAGACTCTGACCAGTGGCTACTGGTGTGCCGTGCAGGCAGTTAAGCCTCCTCCTTTTTCAGAAGTCTCCTTTGCTAAGAACTGAGGAATGAATCTACTCTGCCATCTGGAACAATGAACACTTGGAGTCCTGTTTGCACTAGACCTGTAGTACTTCTGTGTAGAGCTCTTCAGCTTTTGTGTTACTGCAAATCATAGCTTCTTAAAGTAGAACCTTGAGAGATGACCTTGTGAGTTTGATATTCAAGGATCTATTCCCTCTTCTTTTCCAAAGTCCCTACCTCTTTTTGGTGGTCATCATGTGACTTGAGGTCATTGATTTAGGGAAGGGGAAACTCTGATGGGCTCTAGTAAGTCACTACTGGTCCAGCTAAACTTGTGGCTCTGATTGCTTCTTTCCCTGTTAATCATTTGGGCTGAGTGTGCCTGCAACATCAGTGCCTTTTGACTAAGAGGACTTTATCCTTTTTAATTTTAGGTTCCATTACAGCTTATAGAAAGTGTTGAATGCCGTGATATATTCCAGCTTCATTTGACATGCAAAGACTGCAAAGTTATCAGGTAGGTGGTGTGTTTGTAAGGCTGTGAAGTATTGGCAAAAATATTCTTTAAATTGTTGTTACATAGTTTGTTAGCAAAATGTCTTTTGAAGGCTCCATTTGTTAGAATAATTTCTGACTGACTAGTTAGTTCCTGAAATATTTTATTTTTAGTGAATATTGTTATATAAACAGACACTTTTTATTTGGACATAATTTTAAATATATAAAAAGTATAAAAATTAAAATAGTAGTCATGTAACATTTACCCTTGAAACTACTGTATCCCAATTTACTTTATTATTTCCAGAGCCTGTGTGTGTGTGTGTGTGTGTGTGTGTGTGTGTGTCTGTGTGTGAGGG